AATCAGCAGATCAGGGGCAAAGAAGACCCCCTTCTAATACCTTCCCTCAGCGGGTGTCTGCCCTGCAACCTCAGGCAGGCTCCGCCGCTGTGCCCTCTGCCAGCCTCCCTGGGGTCCTTGCCTGGGGCAGCCAACGCCCAGCTCATGCCATCCCTGTTCCTTCCTGGGAGGAACACACTCACCTCTCAGTGACATCTTCCCACCCCCTGCTTTCTCAGACTCCCTCCACCAGAGCCCATGCTGGCTGCCCAGGTCCTGTCGCAGGCCCCCCCACCCCCGCTCCCGATCACCTATATCCCCTTGCTGTGGCTGGGCAAGACCTGGACCCCACCTGTGCTGAAAGGGCAATGCCAGAGGGGAGCCAGTGGCAGGGAGAACAAGGGGGGAGCTGTTGGGGATAACCTCACAGGCTCCTGGGGGTTGTGTGAGGACACTGAACTCTCCAAACAAGTGATGCCTCCATAGACTGAACTGCGGGATATGAAAAGCCTATAGGGACATATTCTAGTGAGAGGGTGAAGCAGCCCCGTTTAAAATGTCACTGGTTCCCCTGACTGTGTCAATCGGATTCTGTCACATTTAAAACATAAACCAGACAGCCCGCCGGGGAGCAGCACCAGCCCAGCTCATCTCCTGCAGCTGCCTGTCCCCTCCTCACTGGCCAGTGACACTTGCCTGTCCCGCTTTGTCCTAGAGGCAGCCAGAGGATCTGGGTCAGGCATGCAGCTCACCCTTGGAGCCTGCAGAGGCAGGACAGATGCTGCTCTACCTCACTCAGCACTGCACCCCAGGGCACTGCACCACACTGCAGCCCACCCAGGGCCGCTGGGATCTCAAGGCAGGCAGTGGGTGGGTAGGAAGGCAGACAGGCTGCACCAGGTCTGGGTGGACTGATGATACAGATCCCAACTCCAGAAGGAATTCTGCCTTTTCCCAGGTGAGCAGGAGAAACAGGTACCCACAGTACCCACCAGCAGTCACCTACCAAGCCAGAGTGAGAACCTGGTCACCAGTACACCCACACAACTCAGCAAGTGAACCTCATCTACAAAGTTCATCCCTCTTCCCCATCACATACACACACACACACACACACAGGCTTCATCCTCTGGCCTTTTCTCCCTACAGAATTTATTCTCTCTTTACAATTAGATTTGTAAGCCTAGTGGCCTCCAGAATCTTCTATCCCTTTACCAGCTGTCACCTGACTATAAGGCATATGAGTGCACACCCCAGCAGTTAAGCCTCTCATTGGTAGGCTTAACTTTTCAAAAACCACAATGTAGTTTTAAACCTAATTGTGTCTTTTCCTACTTGAAAATTTTATTTCCATATCAATGGTTGATGATGAGGCCACATGCAAATTATTGATGAAAAGTGTATAACTCAAAGTGTCAGTCAAGGCACAGTGGCTGACACCTGTAATCCCAGCACTTTGAAAGGCAGAGACAGATGGATCACTTGAGGCCAGGAGTTCGAGACTAGCCTGGCCAACATGGCAAAATCTGGTCTCTACTGAAAATACAACAATTAGCCAGGTATGGTGGCACATGCCTATAATCCCAGCTCCTACCAGCCTGGGCAACAGAGCAAGACTCTGTCTCAAAAAAATAAAAATAAAAAGAAGAAACAAATAAAAGTATATAATTCAAGTTTAACCAAAGTTCAAATATTTTCCAGAGAGTGTTTCAGGAAAAAAAAAATCACATTTCTTTCCTTTGGCAAAAATTATCTAGCAGGAAAAAATACAGAATACGAGATATTATGGTCAAATTACAAAATGATAACCAGGCCAGGCACAGTGGCTCATGCCTGTAATCCCAGTACTTTGGGAGGCCAAGGCAGGTGGATCATCTGAGATCAAGAATTCAAGAAAAAAGCCTGAACTACACAGTGAAACCCTGTATCTACCAAAAACACAAAAATTAGCTGGGCATGTTGGCACATGCCTATAGTCCCAGCTACTCAGGAGGCTAAGGCAGGAGAATGGCTTGAACGTGGGAGACAGAGGTTGCATTGAGCCAAAACTGTGCTGCTGCATTCCAGACTGGGCAATAGAATAAGACTCCATCTCAAAATAAATAAATAACCAATCTAGGATGAAATGAATTAATTTGATCCCACTTGTATTAAAGAGTGAAAGACTCTCAAACCAAATTAAGAAATCAGACTATTTTTTTTTTCACTTCCAGTGTTTGAAGGAGTTTGCTAATATTTAATCATTTCTGCTTTATTTCAAAGAGAGTTTATGTGCCTACTTCCCACCTAATGTCATCAATATCTGACGTCTGAAAATTAAAATCGACACTTCCTATGCTTCCCCTCTTGCCAGCATTCCCAATTACACTTAGGACCAAATTCAGCTGTGGCAGATGCTCACCTGCCCTCTGGCTAAAAATAGCTGTCATCGATGTCAGAAATGGCAAATGTTCCCTCTCTCTGCTTAACGGCCCATTAGGCGGCTTTGTGAAAGAGGCAGATGAATCCCTCACCAAAAGGTGGCCTCAACTTCACCCACACCAAGTGCCCGAGACCTTTTCATATATCAATCGTTGAGATGGCTTTTATCAGATAAAAATAGATCTGTCACCCCAATTCACAGCATAGGCTGCACACTAGATTTTGCAGAGCCCAACAGCACTACGGTTTGGGAATAAGAGCCTGGAGACACGCAGGGCTCCAAGAAGATCCCACAAACCTTGGTGTTATCCTCTCCTTTCTGTCTTGGCCAATGCCTCGTGACTGTTTCCAGCGATGCCTCCCTAGGTAATCTCTTCAAATTCTAGGTATCTGAAGTGTGTGCAGTCAAAAGAGTTCTACTAGGTTTTCCTTCATGTGTATCTGCGTAATTTACACTAAAATAATTTTCCTTCTTGCTAAAAAACTTCCAAATTATCTTAATTGCTTAAAGCGATTCTGCTGTATTATAATTATCACATTGCCCTGTAATTACTTGGATTATCAATGTCTCTTCCCATCCCCTACCCTCCTCCACCCCCAAACTTGAGCTCCTTAAAGAGCCCTCTGTGGCCTCGGTATCCACTGACACAAAAAGAAACAAGGTAACTTTGGTTAAATTGAGTTAATTTGAATTGAAGCTGCTATGTCAATAACTTCTTCCTTCTTAGATTCTGAATCCGATTATGACCCCTGTAACTTAAGTTAGATTTCAGTGGTTAATCAACAGGACTTATCAATCTTGAACATCCCTTCTAGGATCCTAAGAAGAAACTATATTAGACAAATACATTGTGGGAAATAAGGAGTCATTGTATATTTCTACATTTAAATCCTTACATGTCTATCTCCAAAAGGAAATTGATAACCCTGATGCCTAGTGTCTCTAAGGCAAATATAACACTGGAATTAAATATGTGGCATGCTTAGCTCAAGGCCAGCACATGGGAACCCTCTTTGAACATTAGCTCTCTGTCCCCATGTGCTGCTTAGAGTCTCTAGTAATGGATAAAGCTTGTAAGGGAAACAGTCTGGTGAATGCTGTCTCATCCCTTGGCACCTGCTCTATCATTTCAGGCCAGGAGTATTTAGTGACAATCATCTGGACACACAGCCACAGTATATTTATTGAAACCAATGAAAATTTTTTCTGTTTGATTTTATTTGTCTCTCTCACTTCCCACTCCCATCCCTAGTTGTGGTGCTTTAATTAAAGCCAATCCCAAAAGTAGAATACACCTTCTGGGCCCAATCCACCCAAAAGATAACTAGGCACCAATAAGGAGGAGAGATGTTTGCCACCTAGAGATCTATCATCTTCAAAGTTTACCAATTAAGAAATCCTTACTATTAGGAAACAATAAAAGAAGCTTCCTTCACATATAAATGTGTCAACAGAATCTAAACCTTTCAAAATCTGGTGAAAAAAGATGGACTGGCCGGGCACAGTGGCTCAAGCCTGTAATCCCAGCACTTTGGGAGGCCAAGGTGGGTGGATCACGAGGTCAAGAGATCAAGACCATCCTGGTCAATGTGGTGAAACCCCGTCTCTACTAAAAATACAAAAAATTAGTTGGGCATGGTGGCGCGTGCCTGTAATCCCAGCTACTCAGGAGGCTGAGGCAGGAGAATTGCCTGAACCCAGGAGGTGGAGGTTGTGGTGAGCAGAGATCGTGCCATTGCACTCCAGCCTAGGTAACAAGAGTGAAACTCCGTCTCAAAAAAAAAAAAAAAAAGGTGGACTATGAATGCATGACAAATCAACAGAGGCAGCATGAACTTGCTGACAGTAAGAATGTGTCAGCTTGAAGAACTGTGCCCACAGGAAAAAGAGCTCTCCCGCCACAGACAGGCAGTGTATCCCAATGGAGCAGAAGAGTAAAAATAGCCAACAAACTCTGTTTGCCGTTTGCTCATTAAGTCTCCCTCTCATTGTCATTTAAGTCTCTGAGGATCCCTGGCCAAGAAATGCCCTAACGAATACATGCAGATATTCTGACCTTTGCCAAGGAATTGCACATGAACCAGGGTTCCGAAACCTATCATTTGAGGGTAAACAGTAGCCAGACCAGATCCTACTTCTTAGTGATCCATCCAGATGCAAATCTCCAATGTGATGCATCCTGCAACCACCAGCTGGTCTCAACCTTTACAAATGCAACCCAAGAGACCAACAGGTTGCCACAATAATATTCCAAGCAACTTGGAGACAGGCTGGAATTATTAATAAATCCCAAAAGTTGGTTAAGTCAGGTAGGTGAAATCTTACATACCTACGAGGGTAGTGAAATAAGATAACTGTCTAATGGCTACTGCTTCTGAAGTTTCAATGGTTGGCTCTTTCTTTGATTTTAGAAACAAACTCCCCAAATTTATAATGCAATCAAAACCAACTGAGGCAATTCTGACCCAAAGATATTGGTACTTTATGGAACCATCTCAATGTTCTGAGACCATCCACAGATCCCAGAAGGAGTCTTAATCCAACCCTCCGGTTCCTCTAAAGGGGACAATCCCAGTCACCGAGACTCAGGTGCACTTACGTAGGGCATGCCACTCATCCTGACGGATGGTCTTCGTGATGTTGAAAGTGAGGTTCCTGGGGATGGTTGCTGAGGAGTAGTGGTATTTGATGTAGGTGCATCGCTCAATTTCTCCTGGAAAAGAGAAACAGGAAATGAAATGTTAAGGAAGCAGCAACCACATCTGGAATAGTTCTGAAATTAATTTTCCCATCTTGGGGAAGAAGATTTGTTTGATATTGGGCCTGGCAACAACTAAAGAAAAGCAATACCTTCAACTCAAAAAGAGCAAAAGAGAACTACAATCAAATAGCATTGATTCAGATGGAAAAATACATCTCTGGGATCATGCAGAGGTGGAAGAACCAATGTTTAGGCTGACAGCAGCTTGTCTAACATTACCAAGAAAATCAACTTTCAAGTCAAGAGAGGAAGTTTGGCATCAAAACACATCGTTTCCAACCAGGGACCAGCAGAGAACAGGCTTTGTTAAGCCTTAATGATATCATTTGTGCTTTGAGCACACGCAATTCTCTGGAATGGTGACCTGGGGGATTGTGAGGGGGCCTCTGTCCTCCCAACCTCACCTCTGAACACAAAGCACTCAGATAAATCTGTGTCTCTTTGAACTAGTCTCTTCAGATTTCTTGAACAAAACTTAGATTTCTTAACAGACTCAACACCAGTCAAAGCATGCTTTACTAGTCAATTATCAAAATGTTTTTGGCAGAGATTCTGAAAGTGTGGTCCCAAGGCTGGCAACATCAGGATTCCCTAAGAACTTGCAACGAATGCAACTTCTCAGGCTCTCAACTCCAGACCTACTGAGTCAAACTAGGAAGTAGAGCCTGGCAATCTGAATTTAAATAATCCCTCCAGGGATTTTTTTACAAACTTAATTTGAGAACCACTGGCTTGGAGAAGCTAACAGAATTACCAATGCGTTAATGCATAAATCCACCCTGTTTGCCAATTCCAAAAGGAAGGCACCATGGGAAGCTCTTCCCCCATTACTTTTGGTCTCTTGCAGCTATTTCTATTGACACTTGCTCATCTGGGGGATATAAAGACTCAATGTCAGTGCATTGTGAAGAATCAGGAAAGGGGTGATTTTTAAAGGTGAGGGGTTTTTTAATTTGGTTTTGTGCCTGAATGGATTTTGATGGTAATCCATTTTGCACCCCACTGATTTTCAATTTATAAGTGGTGGCACATGATTGAATTGTTTGACCCCCTGGCCCACTGTCAGCAGGGAACCTGGCAATTGGTGAAGTGCAATTAGACAGTGCTTCATGAAACCGATGCCTTATTATAAATCATATCTGGACAACTGCCCAGTTGCCAGTTATTGGTGGGCACTCCCCCAATGAGACTGACGGTGTCCAAGAGTCACGTTCTAAAGAGTGGTATGTGCCCTTCCTGTGTCTTCAATTTTTCAACTTTTCTGCCTCTTTTCCTTTAGCCCACAAACATCCTGAAGCCTCTCACATGCCCCAGCATCCCCCTTAAGCACACCTCCTCCTCATACCTTCATCCTGTCATCCTCCTTCCTTAACTCGCAAAACTTGTTGAAAAAGGAGTCTACCAGACAGTCTTCACTTCCTCCATTCACATTCACACCTCCAACCCCACATGCTCTAATTTCCATAACAATTTCCATTAATAGCATCACCTCCCATCTAGTCTGCATTATAAATCCTACAGTCATTGTGAATGCTGCCTCCTCCTCAAGGTGGCCCCTACTTCCTGACATCCAGCTGGTTGCCAGATTCTGCCAGTTCTACTTGAGAAATGTCCCAGGAGTCCAGCCCCTACTCTCTGTCTCCTCTCCTCCTGTAGTAGTTGTCATGATACAATGACTATCTCAACCAATAACCGCATTGCTAAAGGACTTATGAGATAGGAAGGACTCAGCAAGGCTCTGGAGGCCACTGGCTTTCAACGTTACTCATGCTATGGCGCACACATAGAAAATGTTTACAAGGCACCCTGGAATGAACAGATGAGGCTGCCCATGGCACTGTCCAGGATCCTAGGGTGCTGAAGGGACCAGGGTTTCCAACACACCTGGAACCTATTTGGGTTCTGGACTTGGTCCACCAGTAGGAAATGTCGTTATGGATACCATCTCATTTAGTCATTTAGTCCATTCTACAACCAAATTAAGTAGGCATTACCATCCTCATCCCTATTTTTTAATAAAAAAGTGGAGGCATGAGAAGATTAAATGACTCACCCAAGGAAGTAGCAGTGCCAAGATCAGAACCCAGGACCAGAGAGTCTCCTCTACCAGGCCACCCTCCCAAGTGGAGCATATTCCATAAAGGAAAGAAAAATATGATAATGTCACACTCCATTCACAGGCCCTCTGTTGGCCCCCTTATACACAAGATAACCCCCACACTCCTCAGGCATCAAGTCCCAGCTTCCCTCAGGCCCCAGCCTTCACACGCCCCAGGCTCCAGCCAGGAGAACCTCCCCACCTTACCCTAAAGATGCCATATTCACTCCTGACTTGGCATCTATTCTCCTCCCTGCCTTGCTTTTCCTTAGGATGATTCAACACCTACTCATCCTAAGAGATGGCTCAAATGGCAAATCCTCGGCAGAGCCTTCCTGGCGTCTAGAATGGCACCCCAGCAGCAGGTGTTCCACCAGCAGCTTCCCTGCTCTATTCCCTGCTCCCCTGTGCTTCCGTCCTTCCTGCAGCAAACACACTCCTGCACTGTGATTTATCTGTTTACACGCCTCACTCCCCCACTAGATTATGAGTTTCTCAAGGGCAGGGATGTTGTCTTATTCATTCATCTTTATCTTCCCAGTCCCTAGCACAAGGTAAGCACCAATAACATGTGCTTTGAGGAAAGGAATGAGTAATATGAGGTGTTCTTTGTAAGATTTCAGTGGGCAAAGAATCCAACTGCTTTTATTACATGAAAGGAATTAAAATAATTGAGGCAAATTAGAATCTAATGAATTAAAGGAGGCAATTGTTGCAGAACTCTGTGTGTCTATAGCAAACGCCTCCTCCCTGCCTGGACAATACAAGGAGAGACTTATTAATCACAGTGAGGTAGAAGAAATCTGTATATGGTCACAGAACACTATCTCAATGTACTTGGTAAATGTAACCCCAGGGGCAACCAGGTCAATGATTTGGGGGGAAAAGAGAAATTTAAAAAAAGAGGAAAGGAAGATATAAAGGTAGAATGTTGTAACAAGAATACCATCATGCCTTGGGCATGTGCAGTCAGGCAGGTTGTGTCCTGCATAAGGGCACTTCCCAGGGATATGCGGACACTGAAACGCAGCTGCTGCTCTGCTGGCCAAGCCCTGCACCCCAGCCGGGAGTGCTGGAGGCTCACCCTGCCAAGAGGGCTGCCTTTCTCTCATTTGTGCAATGGTGCCTTATGAGCTAGCAGCAGCCGTACCTACAATAATTTCAATATTCAACAAAACAGCTCCAAGACCCAGGCTTGGAACACAAAACCAGGTCCCATTGGGGATGGCCAGATTGGTGACTCACTCCTGTGTGAGAAAAATACCTGATTTCTTAGCTCAGGTCAGATTCTCTCAGCCTTAACACAAACTCAACAAGTTGCCACTGGTTCCAGGCAGGCTGGAGCCAGCTCCCTTAACCTCCTCCAGCCAGAGAGGGAAGAGGCCCTTGACATTCAGCAAGAGCAAGAAGCCAACCCACAGGCTCTGCAGGTGACTGGCCGGGGAGCCTGCCTGGAGCAGCCACAACGGCCCCGCTGGAGGCCCCCCTCGCTGTTTGCTTTGCCTCTGGGATGGCAAGCATCCTGCCTCTGAGAGCAATTAAATTTGAAAGATTCAAATATTGCCTAAAAAGAAAAGCAAAATATTTATCCATGTGTCTGTAGGTCCTGTCAGTGTGCTGGGCTTTTGTATATACAGGAACCATCTGGGCACCAAATATGTATGCCCAGAATGTGGGCTTCCTAATATGAACAGGTTTTCCTGCAGCACCCGGTACAGAGGGGCTACCTGGAAGGCAATGGAGAAGTCCATGGCCTTACCAGGAAGGAAGGACAAACCCCTCTGCACCAAACTCCTGCATTCCAGCCCAGAGTCTCCATTCTCCCTCCAGAAGCCTCAGGTGTGGGGGAGGACTGGCTGGTAGGGACCCCAGGGGTGGCTCCTTCCTGTGGCCCCTGTGGGGGACTTCGTTCGTTCGTTTGTTCGTTAGTTAAAAGAGACCGGTCTCACTATGTCACCCAGGCTGGAATGAAGTGGCATAATCAGAGCTTACTACAGTCTGGAACTCCTGGCCCAAGTGATTCTCTCACCTCAGCCTCTGCAATAGCTGAGACTACAGGCGTATGCCACCATGTCCGTTAATTTTTTTTTTTTTTTAGTAGAGATGGGGTCTCACTATATTTCCCAGGCTGGTCTCAAATTCTTGGGCTCAAGCGATCCGCCCACCTCAGTCTCCTAAATTGCTGAGATTATAGGCAGGAGTCACTGTGCCCAGCCTTTTCTTATGTTCTGTAACGATGGGAGTCTCACTGTGTTGCTCAGACTGGTCTCAGATTCCTGTGCTCAAGTGATCCTTCCACCTCTGCCTCTCAAAGTGCTAAGATTACAGGCATGAGCCACCACCCCTGGCCTGGTGGGACACTTTAAACCCTCAGTCACGCTCTGCCTTCGGAGCTAGTGACCCCTCCTGCCCTTATGTCAGGGTCATAGCAAGACACAGGTAATTAAGGAGAGTTTCAAAAAAGGACAATTTAACCCAGTAGCAAAAGAACAACCTGACTGAAAAAACGGGGAAAGGATTTGAACAGACATTTCTCCAAAGGCAATTACATGCAAATGTCCAGCAGGAAACAACGCCCAGTATCACTAATCATCAGGGAAATGAAAATTGAAACCACAAGGAGATGTTACCTCATACTTGTCAGGATGGCTAATACCAAAATAAATAAATAATACTGTCAAGGAGGTGGAGAAAGCAAATCCCTTGCATGCTATCGGTGGGAATGTAAATCAGTTACAGCCACTATGGGACTCAGTGTGGCGGTTCCTCAAAAAATTACAAATGATCCAGCAATCCTACTTCTGGGCCAAATCCAAAACAATTGAAATCACTATCTCAAAGAGGTATCTGCCCT